ATCGATATTGTGAGTGTGAAAGTCTCTCTGAATCACGTTATAGCGTATGATACGGATGTACTCTCTCGTGTCGAGGTTTCTCTCTGCAAAGTGTGGACCCAGAACAACGCCTTGCCTCGTCAAACCAACCCAAACCATTATTTGCTGTGCACCTTGCATAAATTCGACATTAGCATTTGAATTCCCCAGAGACATTTAATGTTGCCGCAAAATAAAACAATCAAAACAGCCTTACACGTTAAACTTAATGCATTCCAAAAGTTCGTATAATGAACATATCTGTTCAATAAACATTTTTAAACTTCACTTTTAATTTATGAAACGAATACTTATACGTACGATAAACTGCGGTTGACAAAATTACTTTCTTATACTATTATTAACAACTTTATTGGCATGACCTGTACAGGTATTGCTAAAGTATTAAGTATAGAAGTGCTATTAAGAGCACTGACTATCCTATTATAACAAGAACAAATGTTATGACTACGGTGTAGTTCATATTAAAGTTTCTCAAAAATATATAATATATAGTATAAACAAAAGAGTATATATGTTATAGTAATTAAGGGGTGTCCCCAGATTTAAGGCATCTGTCTCTAAGGCAGAAACATTTTGAAATAAAGCTAGAAAATAGCTCAATTATAACTAAGTCATCGCATGACATCACATGCGTCAATAAGTTTTGTTTTGAATCCGTTGTAATGTTCATCTGAAAAATATTTTTTAATATATTGTTTGCATTGTTCCTAATGCTACTATAACTTGGACACTCGAATGCAAAGTGAAATTCGTCTTCAACCGCACCAGTGCCGCAGGTTTTACAATGTCTTTCATCACGAGGTATATTTTGGTAACGGCCATATTCGATCAATAATTTGTAATTACTAATTCGGAATTTTGTGAACATCCGTCTCTGGGATAGATTTTTTATGGTAGTTAGATATTGTTCCAATTCATATTTTTTTTTAAATTTACAGTAAAATGATAGTTTTGTGGAATTGGTTATTTGTTGGTTCCAATGTGAAATATAGTTGTTTTTTATGTTGTCTAGTATTAAATTTATTTTCTCATTTTCGATAAAATTCCCTAAATCTATTGGTTCCTCAAGTGTGGGATAATGGGCTTTAAGTGTTTTAACAATGTTAGAGTAAAACGATTTTTTGCCGTTCATGTATAGTTCTTTCGAGCTGTGGAAAGCTTGTTTTACTATAGACGAATCTGGTTGCTGGCATATAGATTTAATATAGTTTAGTACCCTTTTGAGCATCGGAAACAACAAAGGGAATCTACCTAATTCTCCTCTACTTGCAAAATTACTGGCTTTTCTGTTTACGCCAAGATAGAGTTTGCAGTACTTCAGGTGGTTTTTTTCTGTAGACGATTTATCCCATTTGGTAAAATCATTGTCGGTGTAAGCCCCCCATACCTCTGAGTTGTATAATAATATGGGTGAGATCACACCGTCGAAAATTTTACCAGCTATTTCTGGGGGTAGGAAGTGAAAATCGATGTGTTTGCGTATTTTATATAGGGCATGCATTGCTTTTTCACTAAGTTGTTGGTTTGCAACAGTAAATTTTGTATTAGGTGTTAATTTTAAACCGAGATAGGTATATTCATTAGTAATAGTAATCGGATTATTTCCTATGAATAATAGGAAATTGATAAAAATATCAATATAAATTGATAAAAATATCACGATAAATTGATAAAAATATCACGATAAATTGATAAAAATATCAATATATTTTTGAAAGAATAACACGACTACACGAGGCTAAAGTATGCCCGTTCGCAGGTTAGATGCGGGCACGATGTAAACAATTGATGTAAACTAATCGCTGATTGGCTTAAATTATATAAGCTTGTCGCTGAATGGCTATGTGTTAACATACGGTACGGTAACAGTACGGTACGTTTGCGATAGCATATATATCTGCTTCGCAGATAAAAAGAGCGTTGATGGTTTTTCAATCTTTACAACAAACTTGTTGCTCCTTTGCCCCGCACCAATTATCTTAAAAATAGCTTTAGCAAGAGTATAGTAATGCGTTGTTATCGAACAGCTTACTATGTATTCGATAGACAACGCATTCATGGAAAAAAGGTATAAATATTAAGAGATTTTTTGTATGTTACCTAACACGCGCTCAAAACTAGTGCGTATAATATACCACTTGAGTCTTGAGGTTATGACTAAATTCAAAATTTCAAATTTTTAGTGCTTTAACTGTAAAATAATACTAAAATGAATAGATTTTAGAAGATACGCCAAAGAGAAAATGATGTCTGAAGTTCAGTAAGTTTTGCTTATATGGTTGTAAATATGGCGTCAATTTTAAAGCATCATTGATAATTGTATTTTAATTGCAATTTTAAACTATTATTTTATGTTTCTCAACCGGCAGATGCATTTAAAAAGGTTGCTAACTGTATAAACTAGAGAATAAAGCTAAAACAAAGTAATTTTGAGAGGAACGCCAAAACGATTTTAGGTTCTGAACACTTTTCATTGCAAATACGTGACATTGAAAAAAATTGGCTTGTAAATTAACATAGGCTTTTAAAAACTTATTAATGTAGATAACTATATTTTTTGTAAACCTGATGAAGCTACCGTGCTTAAATAAAGATTTGACTGACTGACAGATTAAACACGTGGGCCGTTTTAACAAGGGAGAGAAAAACAGGCAAAAATCGCGCGAGTTTTAAATATTTGTATTATTTATATGTACATAAACTAGTCAAAATATGCCCCTTTAATTTAAAGTTGTTTTTCCACTTCAACTGCATATCATGCTCAAACGTAGCATCGACTCTGTTAACTGAGGCCGGTCGCAGTATAAAAAAGTACTTAATGTGTGTGCGAATGTTAGCCAATCACACTGCATAGTTCAGAGTTAAATCCTAATTTTTAAATATTGGTTGAGGCAGTAAGCTGGAACCGTTGAATTAATGAGATTCTGTAAATAGGTTTGTGCCTGCTAGTTCTTCCGAAATATGACCAAAACGGCTTTGTTTTCGCCAAGACGAGATTTTTTGGCATGTTATGTAATTATATTTTCAACGCTTTTCATCACAAATTTCGACAGAAAACAAATGCTACGGTATGGCTGGTTGTGGTACGTTTGAAGTGGAAACTATAAAGCCAGGTTTCCACTTCAATCGTATCGTACCGAAGCGTATTTCTTTGGTTAACGACGTCCACACAAAAGAAAATGCTACGTTACGTTACGATTGAAGTGGAAACTAAAGCCGGTTTTCCACTTCGCCCGTATTGTAGCGAAACATATTGGTGAGCATGCGCAGATTGAAAAGAGGTTTATAAATCCACTTACTTCCGGGCGTATTCGCGTATCAAAATAAAAAGCTCGTCGCAAGTCAACTTTTTGGCGTACTACGAAGTACTACCAATCAACAGTCATGAAATTTTGAAATTTAAAAACGTTTTTGATACTTTTCGGTACGCTTGAAGTGGAAAATCGGCTTAAGTTTCTCTTTGGCTTTAGTCTTAAGCCTGATTCACATATGCCTGCGACTATATCATTATGCCTCTACTTGCCGCCGAAATACCGGCAAAGTTGAACTCAACTCAACTTTCCCGGCCTACCGCCGATGTAACTGTGGCACTGGAGGCAATCGGCGAAACAGTCCACATGGCCTTTTGCTGCTTTTCAGTTATGAAAGACTCATTTTTTATTGTTTTGCTAAAAAGTACTGCTAGAGCGATGAAGAATGACGTTTACAGTTTCTTCATATCTCATCTCATTCTCTAGTTATCGCACTTTCTAAATTTCGAGTTGTGACGTCACTAGTTTGACTTGAGATAATGGCAATAACAAGAAAGTCTGATATTTTAGAGAGTATTTAATAAAATTCAATGAAACTCGGCACACTTAGTGGGTGCACCCATATGAATATTTTTGGATGGTCATGTGGTTGTCATGGCAACACATAAGTCCACAGTCTCTTCTCTTCTTTTTCACAAATTTCCTCCTGTAGACCTCTTGCAGAGGATGTTTGCATGTTATAACGGTTTAAACTGATCACAATACCTACACGTATGATAGTAATAAGCGACAATTGCAGAAATTACTATTTATTTCGTTGGAAATGGATCATATAGAAATTGGAAGAGAAGGGACTGAGGACGAGTGTGTTGCCATAACAACCATATAAACACGCCAAATTGTTCACTTCATTGCACCCACTAAGTGTGCCAAGTTTCAGTGAATTTTATTAAATGATCATCAAGATATCAGATTTTCTTGTTATTGCCACTATTTTGAGTCAAACTAGTGACGTCACAACTCAAAATATAGAAAGTGCGATAACTTGGGAATGAGATGAGATACGAACAAACAGTAAACGTCATTCTTCATCATTTAAGCAGTACCTTTTAATCAGACAATAAAAAATGAGGCAAAAATTCCGTTTCATAAGCACTTTGATTTCGTAATGCAGCATGAGGCCTGTTTCAAACGTCGCGCTTCTCATGTGCCGAACGCATTAGAAACAATAGATAATGAGGCATTTCAGCTGATTATCTATTGTTTTTAATGCGTTAGGCACATGAGAAGCGCGAAGTTTGAAACAGGCCTGAGATACTATAATATCCCACGGTAGATCCACCCTGGGATTTTATAGTATTAGTATCTCACGCTCACGCGTGACGCGTGGACACTGCTCTGAAACAATATGGCGTTTGCGAGCTGCTGTTTGTAATCTCGTACAAAAGATTTATCGATTTAACCAAAGATTTCCAAGACGGATGTTATCTTCAATGATCCAAAGGATACATGCTCAAATATTATAAAGAGAAAACGTCAAAAACTCAGGTATACAAAAGAAATTAAAAATTGTATTCGCTTAGTTAATATCATCTATCATATATAGACCCTCCGCTCGGGGGATTCGTCGAAATATTAAAAAGACCCTTGGGAAATATCATCACTTTGGGTACTATTCCGCCGAATAAAAAGAACTGTATAAAAAAACTGAAAAGATTTGAAATTGCTTTGAATTTCGCAAAACAGCTATTAGCATCCAGTTTTTGATATATATATATATATATATATATATATATATATATATATATATATATATATATATATATATATATATATATATATATATATATATATATATATATATATATAGTTTCTTTGGGTACTTATAATCTAAAATAATGAAAAAATTTCTCGAACTCAAATTTTGTAAACCAGGGGGGGGGGGTGTGTTTTTTCGATCAAACTAAAAATAGGTTGTGCACAAAATTAGCCTTTCGCATGCTTGCTGACACATTGCTGACATGAGCAAATTCGGCAAACGCATTAATTAAGCGTGCAAAAGGCTGATTTTTTTGGGAAAAATGTAAGTTTGTAAATAGTTAAAGGGCATATTAAACAAAATCAAGATGGCGGACGGTCGCGTTCTGACTAGCTCTGTCAGTTGCCTTCAAAACAATCTTTATAACTGGGACTTGACTGAAATACTTCGCTACAAAGAAGCGAATAGCTTTACTTATGTTGGCAATCGAATTAAATGGATAGATACTTTTGACATGTTGAAAATATTTACGAAAAATGCCATTGGCCAGGCTGGCAAATGGCTATCACCCGGTGGCAAATATAAGAAATTTGTGAGCTCCAATTCTGACCTAACTATCACATGGAACTATGAACTGGGCATGCTGACTTTCAAAGGCAGTGTAGGAGACAATTTAAAAGAACTATTTGCTAATATTATGAATGAAGACATGCCGACGAATAGTATAAGTTTTAAACTTGGCTCTTCGAATAAAGACAAATTGTTGGATAATGGCGAAATCGTGTCCGAAGCTGGTAGAAAAATCATAGACCGTGATAGTGCTGAATCCGAATGCGGGGCGGTAACACATACTACGGACATTTCAACTCTTGAAGAGCTACAGGAAATTGTTGATCGATCTTATCAAGGTATGTTGCCCCGAAATGGCAACGTCAATGTGTCCTTTGCCCAAACAATCGACAGTTCTACCCCTTTCAGGTCGCGTGCAGCAGAATACTTATCTATGGAGGAACGATTCTGTACGTTTAAGGTAAATATAGAGTC